GGCAATGTTTCGGAGGATTTAAAATATGTTCTTATGATTAAAATAAAAGCATATTATAAAGCATCGACATTTATTAGTATTGTCGATAAATATTAATTATACGTTAATTAGAAACGTAATATTAATATTTTACGATTGATAATTAAAAAATATATAGTACCAATTTTATAATTAAATCTTGTATCTTAAAAAGCAAGGACAACTAAAGATTACTTAGCTATTGATCTCATAATGATTAGTAATTATTCCTTGATCTAAAATAATAATTAAATACCTAAGTGACTGCTTTTATTATAAACTATGTGTTTTTCACTCAGTTTTTCTACATTTTTTGTATTCGTTTTATTCATAGATGGTATTTGAAATGTTTATGTAAAAAGATTGAAAGATTTTAGTTGACATAGTCGTAGTTTCGATTAGTCGGTCTATATTTTCAATAAAATAATAAAAACAAAAAATTAAAAGTGATGGAATTTAACTTGTAGTAGGTATCGTTTTTCGAATGTAATGTAATTAAGAATTTAGGGTTACAAAAAAAGTGCCTAACTACCCTGTGCAGCAGAAACTTTGACAACTAACTAACTTATTTTATACTCTGCATTTATTATGTAAGTTCAAATATTTATTTTAATACTAAAGTAATACCAGTTTTGTTGAAAAGTATACATTTGACATTTTTAAGTAATTATGACGCGAACATATTGTTTTAATTGAAAAACCAGCATTTAATTTTAAAGTTATTAAGATAATTTATTAATAAGTTATATTTCTTAATGATGCATATAAATTGTATCACGTGTAATAATATACGGTAAGGCCTGCATGAATTCAAAAGGAAATTATTCGTCAATTCTACTTAAATTCAACAATTAATCTAAAAGAAATGTATTTAATGAAGACACATTAATGATTCATTTTTATTATGGAAGGTTATTTCTTCTTAGCAATGTTTTCATTGCAAGTCTTTCAATGAAAGATAATACATATTTTTTATAATATTATATAGGTGTAGCACGCTTTATTATACAGTGTATGTGTAAATTGTTTTACGTAATTTTCATTCTTTATAATGATATATTATTATACTTTGTTGAATATTTTTTTTCATATCAAACACTCGACCAATTCATATGGTAATTGATGTGAATCGTAAACAAATATAGGCACAACACAAAGTGAGTCCTATTCGATGTAACATTTGTGAGATGGCTGACAAGAAACACACCACTAAATCATAATAAATAATAATAATATCGTCGGACTGACTTCATACATATTTTATAAAAAGATATAAAAGGGAATATATATGTAGTATACTAGTATATAGAAGAAAGAAAAACGCTATTTAAAATGTTTCAATTTCCAATTCCCCGACATCTCTATATGCCGCATTGTGTGATACATCGCCGGCGTACACGGACCATATAATAATGTAACGAGTGAAAAAATATATAATAATAATAATAATAAAAAGTCGCAAGAAGGTACCTATAATATTGCCACGGACGGGATATCAACATCAATCTATAATGCCTACGCATGTGCGGACCAAAATACGAGTGGTCGTGACACGGTGTACACCCTAACGTATCGGCGAGTGGGAGGGGGAGGGATTAAATATTATTATTATTATTATTATTGTGTATGTCATAACATAAGAATATAATATACTTTGTACAGACGGCGGGTGGATTCCGAATAGCCGTCAAAACAATCTGAATGAGCGTACGGAGGGTAAAAAAAACATTGTGGATGTGCACCCGACATCACAGACAGAAAATCGAGTCATATTATTATTATTAATCGACACGTCTTCGACAAAGGTATATACCGCTCGTGGTACCTTCCTACCTACCTACCCAAAACATTCACACCGCGTCCTATACAAACCGGCGACTTCTAGATATTATTATATTCTCAAATTACATAACAACTGTGAAACCTAAGACTGAAAACACACGTCATATGGGCGACGGGGTTGTATAATAAACATAACTATATAATATACACCTGTTCGACAGTTTCACGTCTATTGGTGGTTAGTCTTTAAAATGCTATTAGAATACTTTAGAATACTATTTGTATGTTATATTATATTATATTGCACCACATCCGATATTGGTGTTTTAAAATAATGTTTACAAAGCGTAATTTTGTATTACTGGTGGTACGTTGCTCCGTTAATATTTGTATTTCAACACCTAGTAATAATAAATTATTATCCGTAGTGAAGGAAAACATAAATATATTTACAGGATATTTGTCGAGGGATGCAAAATATGATTTTTTGAATTTTTAAATATACTTGAATATCATATTTTCAAATTGTTGAGATTTTGTGTACTACTTGAAGAGTGTACTGTGGAGTTACAACCTTCTTTTTTTTTTTAGAAATATTATACTATAAAATTGTTTGGCAAATAATTTTTCTGCAAACGTTGAAGTATCAGCCTTAAAATTTGAACTATTAGTTTTTCAATCATTTAAATATTTGTATACTGAAGATAATAGCTCCATAATAATTAATTTTGAAGATTTGGTGACCATGGTGATTTGCAAATCTTCGTAATTAATATTAATTCATCAAAATTTATAATTCATAGGAATGGTACAAGTACAATAAATTATAGATTCAATTGAATTTGGGTTCACTCTTGATTCACTCTAGCTTCTGGATCAAATTGAATCTTTTTTCTACTTTTGTATAACTATTTTTAAAAACTATAATAATTATCTTTAGTATAAACACTATAAACATTTATTTTTAATAACTGAAAAACTACTCGTTCAAATTTTGAATTAGGTACAGAAATTAGGTAAAAAAATGTTCTAATTTCTATAAGTTAATTCACTAAATAATTAACAATGTAAAAGGCATGTTTTCGTCTGAAAAACGAAAGTTTGTATAGTCGCGGGTTTCTCTTTATGTAATACAAAAAGTCTCGAGAATTTAAAAATATTCATTATTCAAATTAAAAAATGTCGCTGATCATACTTGGTAGTCACCTTATGTCCTTATATACTTAACAAAACTCGATATATCATGATATTCTTACATAATATTACATCTACTTTTCTACCGATATTACGACGAAACACAATCTATTAATAACATAATATATACATTAATCTATCTCAGTTTATAAGCTTGTTTATTGCACTTAATAAGCCATTGTGTACATTATACTGTACTATAATAGGCGCTATAATGATTTCACACGTAAAAAGTTGCTATTAAGTCTTCTGTTACTGAATCTGCTAAAACTATATAAATATAACGATACCTTTTCAGTACCAAGATAATGTAATGGTTATAGGTATAATATCATAGTACGCACACACGCACACACGCACACACACTCACACGCATGTTTGAGCATATTGTTTTATATTATAATAATATATTAGTTCGTTAATAGTTTTTGAGCTAACACTTGCATAGTGGTTAATCAAATTAAGATTTTAGTCAGTTCATTATAAACTAGAAACTTAAAGCAATACAAAGCACGCGCACGTAACTTAAATAATAAACAAATTGAATAAGGAAAAACTAATTATTTTTTATTTGTTTCGTTATACAATTTATAAACGACGAATATATAATTGTACGTTAATCAGAAATTATTAAGTTTTGGGGTTTATTTTTCTTTGAACTGGTGAAAATAAAATAAAATGCTGTTATATTATAGTGCTGCAATAGTATACTGGTAGATTGTGCGGCCGTTGGAGCGAGTGTTTTATGTTATTAAAACAATTATGAGTTGAGCTCGATTTGCACAAAAACGGTCTAATTCAGCCAAAACATAATAATTCCTTGTACACAGTTCACATGCCTGCATAAGGGTTATTTTTCTTAATAATATATTAAAGAAATTCGATAAATTCAATTTTTTGTGTTAAACTACTCATAATAAATTGCAGGCTGAGTGATGAAAATGTTATTTGCAAAAAAATAATAATGCAAAATTACAATAGTCAGATCAATACATTCTTTAAGCTGTAAAATTATATTATAGGTACTTTTATAGTATATTAGATTTTTATTTTGAAAAATTTGTTGTTCGATCTTGTTTAGATATTCATTTATTTGGAATCTTAGACCAAATTATACAAAGCTAATTTTCGGACACATCGAGCTTGTTTATGGCATTTTTAATGTATTGCTTTGAATAATAATTTATGGTAAAAAAAACATAACTTTTTACTCAAATATTAAATACACAAATACCAAGTTATATATTTATATTGTAAATACATATTTTGCATTTTATATATACCTACATGTTCATGTTATTTTATTTATTTATGTGAGCAAGTTTGCGTATGTGTGGGCCACAGTACAAGCATATACAACCACAAGTACCGAGATGTTTTGTTCTTTTCCTTTAAAATCTATTATTATAGTGAACTGGAGTCAATAAATGTTTAGTCTGATTCTTGAATTTATATGTTTAAAAATCCAAATCACCATACTTTATATAGCATCGGGAATGGTCTATAATAGACTAAAGTTGTTAAAAACTTTTCCTCTTTTATTACGGTACTGGGGTCAACGATGTTTGTCATTTGTTATAGGTCGTTTTACTTTTATAATCCGTTTAGGATATTTTTGGGACCAAAAGTGACTTTGAATGTCTTCCGGCCAATAGATTTTAAACGGAATGTCAAGTTGTTTTCGAGACACACGGCTATACGAAAGTAAAAATGGAAGGTTATAAGTACGGATATCGGTGGTTATGATCAAAATATCTAATACATTTGAAAACGGATAAACCTATTTCTTATCGAACAATATAGTAAATTAGGTACATTCGTTTTGACTACAATGTGATCTGAATGTTTATTATGTTATCAGTTAGAAAGGTATGTAGTACTCTAAAGATTACGAGAAATATAATATTTTATATTAAAACGAATAACTCATATAAAAAAAATCCAATTCTCTATCATAATTCATACGTTTCGTATTTTGCATGCTTAACGGCGGTCATAGTATTTTAAGATACGATTCTGAGCAGATGTTAATTTGTCAATTTTTTTGACGTCAACGTTTTATTAGACATTTTCACATTTTCAGTTATTTTTTGTCAACAAATGTAATTTAATATCAAATGAAAAACTAAAATCTAACGAGTCAGGTAAGTCAATGTGTTGTATTAATCCACAGTCTAAGTTATAAATCTATTATTATTTTCAAACGAATGGCATAGTATGGTTGCATCTAAGCTAAGTTTAAATCATAAAATGTTAACCACCAATTTATGATAAATAAAATGTACTTTCTCTCGTAATAAATCGTAATAAAACAAAACCGGAGAAGTCCCTCTGACATAAAATGTTAGGTTTCAAGTGTACATTACTCGCTGTAATGTATGCGTTAAATTGTGATTCATGCGTATTGTATATGAAAAATGATTTTAAGCTTTTACGTCTATTTATAAGGATATTTTATAATCAATTAAAATAAGTATTTGAAATTTGGAAATCATTTACTCCAAAATGATTGACTATAGTTTTGTATGATAATAGCAATGAAACTATTTATTTATTAGTTTGATAATATTAAAACTTATAAAAATAAAAGCCGAAATTCAGTAGAATGGTGTAAATTTATTATTAATTAAAAATTATTCTAAATATTTTGAAATTTAAAAAAAAATAGAATAGAGAAGAATAATTTACATGATGGCAAAGTTAGGTTTTTCTTTATTTTGCGCATGAAAAATCAATATTTAAAAAACAAACACCTAAAAAAGTCGTAAAAATGCATTTTCAATATTTTTAATTACTGTGAAAACAATTTATGAGTTATGAGGAGCTTTGTATGAAATGTTCATGCTTAAAAAAACAAAATATTTTTAGTTATAATATCAAGAATAGAAAAAATATTTTGTGAACACTTAAGAATTTCTAGAGTAATTAACTAAAACAAAAATTCAATATAAATTTCGTCTAAAACTGTTGTGTTTCAACAAAAAAAGAAACAATTCCTGGTTTTATAAATTTGTTAATAGTTTTTCTCGATTATTTCGAAAATTGTTTACCTTGTACCTAAATTAGGTATAATCATTGGTTATTTTACTATTAAAAACTATCCCCTAATATTATAAGTTGAAAATTGGAACATTTTTACTACATAAAACACGAAAAAAATATTTATAAAAAGATACATCATCGTAAAACCAATAGGTATACATTAAACGCTTCGCTTGGAATCCAAACTAAAGGAATCTCCGCAATTGCACGATATCATAAAGTATGATCTTTAAAATAATATAAACATATTCCAAATACAACTTTGGTGGTTGTACTAAAAACTTGTTATTTTTAACTCTTGAAGTGTTTTTCTAGAAGAAAAAAACAAGTATAAAGCTTAACCACTCTGTTTTGTAAACTTATAGTATGTACAATATTGTATAATGTGCTATAAAACATTTAGATTTCATTAAATAGACACTCTGTTCATTTCACGAAATAACATCCACAGCAACGACGTCTTAAAATACTCCTCAATAATGACTACCTATATAAAGACTCTAAAATTATAGTTTATAGTCATACATTTTTTATAGTATATTTACAATAATATTTTTATTTAAAATGGATTATAACGTATCTAAAAATAAAAATTTACTTTTGATTACATTATCACATTAGAAGTACTGTACTGATATTCTATCGTATAATCCTATAATGGTGTTATTTCTGTGTGATGTCGTTTTTGTTATCGTGGATTAGTGTTGACAGCAAATCAATTATTCGGACACCCTCCACGACACCGTTATACCATAATAATATAATTTACCCAGTCTGATGCAAATGATACCTCTAATGCACGTTAACGTGGTCACTGTTCACACGGCTATTATATTATTGGTTCGTTACGTTATGGCCACTGCATCAGTAATATGTTCATTTCACACCAAATAATAAACACATATTACATATACATATATACTATATATACCTACACAGATAGTTTAGTCGGCACTAGACACTAAAAACGATACGAAATTACCATAATCCATCATAGATAATAATCCATACACATAACATATAAGTACTCGATTTAGTATGATGATTCCAAGCACACAATAAGTCAAAGTTTTCAGTTCAAACATTATGATAACGAAATTAACGAAATAACATAATAAACGTATGGAGATGGTCATAAATACAGTATAACATTATACTTATAATACTCACAATATTTTGTTCGCAAATTTACATAATATAGTATGATCATGAAGCACACACGACCTAATATTATTATATACTAATCTATTTTTATAAAATACCCACACTGAATAAATAATTCGATTCCTCAGTAAGTAGTATCTATATTATGTAACATAAATCAATAGTAAAGTTTTCTATTGAAGTTATAACTTATAAGAACAACTCTAAATGACTTAAAAACTATCAACTTTTTTTTAAACGTATTAAATATGAACGAACTTGAAACAAAAAAAAAAGACCATTGTGTATCTATTATATCCACTGAGCAAAAACAACATTTCACATGAATTACATTGTTGACTTTGAATATATTCGTATACAGTATTGACATTTATTTTATGTTAGTAAAATTTAAATTATTTTCACAACGTGTCCGCTTTTATTCTATGTGAACAATAATAAAGTGAAGAACGCTTATTGACAGGTTTTGACTTGTAAATATTTTAATAACTGACTCAATCAAAAAGTTTCATCTTTTGTTTAGTTTTAATGACAGCACATTTTATATAATACTTTCCGGAAAGTTGCTCAAACATAAATATTTATATTACCGTTACGAATAGTATATTACATTTTCATCAAGTCTATTTACTACAAATCATTATTACTATTATTTAAATAAAATACCATCTAACTTTTAGGAAAATATTTATTTTGCTCATGACTTATAAACCACAATCAATAATTGCAGTATGGTACTATCTACACATTTTAGTTTTGGACTAAGGAAACATTGTTTATATAACCGTTACATAACTATAACTAGTGATAATATAATATATAAAATATATAAATAAATATCTATATATATATATATATATATATATATATATAATATAATAATATTATCAATTAATGTGTATAATTTTAACAATCAATTGTGGTCTCGATTGCGATACGATAACCAGTCGTCTACAAATACCTTAGAATCTGCAAACCTATTTTCAAATTACTTTTCTAGTGTCTATATCCTCGGCACGGTATTATCGGACAATCAAGCTACACTTCTAACTACTACAACAAACATTAATCTTAATTTAGGAACCTGGTCTATAAGTGAACTTGAAATTTTTGATTATTTAAACTCTTAAGATATAAATTTGGGGACCGGACCTGATGGAATACCCTCTTTATTTCTAAAGTCCTTTAGTTCCGTTTTTGTAAAATCTTACAATTTATCTTTAATAAATCTTTAAGTTTTCCTGAGATTTGGAAAAAATATTTTATTACGACAATACATGAATCCGGCAATAAACAATGTATTATTAATTATAGACCTATCTCTAAATTGTCTCTGATCCCAAAGATGTTCGAGACGTTACTAAAAAAAAAGCTTACTTTAATCTTGTCACCGCATATTTGTCACAAGCAACATGGATTTAGACCTAAAATGTCAATATCCACAATAACATCTGTTACTTACCAACCCGCAATACTATCAGCTTTGTATAATTGAATACAGTTTCATTCTATTTACACAGATATTAAAAAAGGGTTTAGTAAGGTTAATCATAATTTACTTATCTCGAAATTGAAATTATTTACTTCCTCCGGTCAACTTTTAAATTGGATTAAGTCATGTTTAAGTAACCTTGCCCAAGCTGTGAAATTGCCTTTCTATCTTTCAACAGATTTTCAATTAATCTCAGGTGTACCTCAAAGACCTATGTCCACTCTAGTGTATTCTATTTATAAATGATCTACATACTATTTTTGATACCAAAATTCACTTATTATTATTTGTTGTGGACTCTAAAATATTTTCAATAATTGAATCTTCTTCCGACGCAATAAAATTTAGACAAACTACTCAATTATAGTCATGGTTATTACTTACCTCTAAATGTAAATAAGTGTAGTGTCATATATTTTAATCACTCAAAAAATCCTATAACTTACAAGTAAAAGATTTACAATTCAAAATTAATTAGCAAGAGTTAATAAAGACTTGAATATTTTAATTGATCAAAATATGTCTTTTTCTTTACACATTTATTCGACTTTTAATAAAGCCTTCAAAATGTTAGGATTTATAAATAGAAATACGATTAACTAAAAAAATATTAAACCCTTAATTATATTATACTTTTCTCAAGTTAGATCAAACCTTGAATTTGGGTCTGTGGTGTGGTCCCCAAGTTCTATAAAAATACAGAAACGTTCAACATACATATCTTAAAATGATATGCTTTAAATTAAATTTGCCGATCTCTAGGGATTCTTACAACTTGCAAGTTTCTCTACATGGAATTTAATTTTGTGAACTAAGGAGTAAAGTTGATGATCTCGTGTTTCCATATGATTTATTAAACGGCAATATTGACTCTCCTGATTTAATTTCCATGTGGTTTGTTTTAATGTTGGTAATCACTGCTTAAGAAAGAATAATTTATTTTTGTTATTATAACTATAGTTTCGACTCTTTTTTTCCTAAAGTACTCTAATAAGCAAACCATATATCTAATTATGTTGACTTTTTCCTAACGCCATTTAACGTTTTTAAACAGAATGTATTATTAGCTTAAGCAATATTCATATTTGATTTTAGGTACTCAAACACTATTTGTTAACCTTTACTTTTATATGTCCACTTTGTTCACCTACGCTATATTATATTATGTGATTACCAGTCATATCATGTTCTTAATATTATAAGCTTTACCAGATAAGATAATAATATAGATTTAACTTTGTAAAATAAGGTTCTTACCTGTTGAAATAATAATGAAAAAATAAATAAATACGAGTATATAAATTAAACTTTAAAATTGAGAGTTTAGAGTAAACGAAATAAAATATGTTGATGTAAAATACATTAAATATTCATTCTAGGTCTCTAGGAAACACTAATTTGTACAGTATTATATCTCAACATTAACTTAAACTTATCGATTCACCTAAAGTTATTCAAAAACCTATATACATTATATTTGATTTACCATATTATAATTATGTTTAATATCTTTTTGAAGATCGAGTTTCAGAAAATATAATTGAATATTGTTGGAAAATTACACAATACGTTCATCTTATTCTTAAATAAATTATCAATGACAATTATTTCACGTCTAAGGTAATTATTATTATTTTTCAAATTATTAAAATTGGACTAATACTAAACATAGAAACACATTTATCTTTTTTTTTTCTTATATCAATTTCGGTACTTTTTACTCGTTAAGTGTAGGGTAAATACTTTGAAAATCAAAAAACGTTCAAAGTGCCATCCATCAATAAATGAAATTTTTAATTTAAAAATTTTTTACCCATATGAAACTCTTAAAACACACAGTCTAACATAATATTATAAACTAAAAATATTAAGTGACATAATATCCATCATAAACATAATAATTTTTAAAGTTTAAGGTAACTTTAAAATATTATTGTTATTATTCAAGTTTGCCTTCAACTAAATAAAAAGTTCATAGAAAATGTAAAATATAATGTTTACACAAACCAGCATCACGTTCGAAGAAATTATGTATAATTTATATGCTAAAACATTGAATTATTTTATTATAAATCGCATGACTTGAGACAGCAGGCTGCCTAAAGCGTACCGAGAACAAAAGTACCTAATAGAATCGAATATTATTTTTTATTTGATTTATTTGAATGGACGACATAAGACAAAAAGCAATACGCTTAAGTCTGTGTGAAACGAAAACGAATACCTACTACCATTTAAAATGTATAAAACTATAAAAGAAAAAAATGTTACGAAATTAGTTAATTAACTAATGATAATAAAGATATTAGATTAACATAAATATCCACTAACCATTGATTTGTTTTTTTAAAAATGAGCATGAATAATATTGAAAATTAGTAATTAACAAAAATGTAGACATTTTCCTGAAGCTAGATGTTCTTGTAATACAAAAAATTTAAAATACGTCATGTATTGGCGACACCAAAGCAAAACACAAGACCGAACATTTTTGCTTTACGTGACTGATAAGAATTTTTTTTTTGTGTTAACTATTGGTTATTTTATATTTTTATAGATTACATTGTGGTAAAAACACACGTCTATACGGACTTGTCATATTTTCTCCCTGATGTAATATTCATATCAGAATGATCGAATTTCGGAGAAAATTATGGAACGCAGGTACCCACACGCCCAACGTAGGTACCTGCAATAGGTACCATATGATAATTTGTTGTGTCTACAGTCTATCAATCGTTTCATGTGCGTACGAACGGACTTCTGTTAAAATATTTCGTCTGCCTAAAACAATATTTTTACTCCTTAGTTTTCGGTCACAGTGATAATGTCTAAAAAAATGTGTCGTTTTAATTTATTATTTGTTCTATGTATTTTAATTTTAACTGTGTCGAGTTTAAGTTTTGCGAAACCAGTAGACCGTAAGTAGCTAGTAATAATATAATAACTAACCATATTACATCAACTAATACGATATAAAGAGCCATATTGAAATTGTTTCCATTGTTCATTTAAATTTTAAAGATTAAACATACTAAATTTAAATATGGTAGTTCACGAACGTCAATAAATATATTAATAAATTTATAATAAAGTACAAATAATACTCTCCGTCAAATATAACTTATTTTCACAAATTTTTATGTTTAAGTGTTTGACGGTAATATTATGATGTACATTTTAAAAGCTTACTAAACAATGAACAAAATTCTTTTTTTTTCACCATAACATTTTTAATGAACCTTGCATTAAAAGAAAACAGCGAAATTCAACATTTTAAAATGTAGTTTCGATTCAAGTAAATTGTCAAATAACACAGATAAGCCTGATCATTTTATCAAGTATTTTTAATATACCATCAGGTTTTATACTTTTATATATACGTTTTTAGCAAATGTGTTGGTCAAGAAAATAATTCAGTAATTTAGGCGTTTCATTTTGATATAAGTATTATTTAAAAACTATAAATATCAATGTTATCGATTATTTGGTAAAAATATTTCCAAAAGCTCAGCATTTAATAGAAAAAGAGTATCAATTATATATAGGCGCAATTGATGATACTGTGACTTTAGAAATGTAATGCCATCAGACTGTCCATGTACATGACTGATTATAGCTACTTATTTTATGTCCAGAATATATTGTTAAGTTTTTGAAGATTAAACGCTCAAAAATGAAGCTATTAATCATAAAAAAATCAAAAGTTTTTTTAACACAACTAAGTGTCATCATAGATGACAAAAGTTCAATCATATGAAGAATTTAATCGAAAAAAATGTTTCTAATAAATTACGATAAAATGACCTCGAACGCTCAATATTGGGCAAGCTGATGTTTTTTTTTAAACTCCGTTAAGTTAATTTTTTCCATTGATAAGAAACAGTTAATTTAATTTTTGGTTAACTTATAGTTATGCTAAAAGTTGTTGAGTTAAATTTTTTTTGAACAAAACCATACTACCCTACATTATTTTTTACCAACACAAAACTATGGGAAGGTAGTATAGTATTTAAAGTATTTCTATAATATGTAGTATTTCATTGAAAAAATAATAATTATGATAAAAAGTGATAATTCCTATCTAATAACTAATAACTAGGCATTGTGTAATAATAGGTACATTAATAGGTACCTAAAAATAATGAGTTGTATTACTTTTTGTTTGTAATAGACTATTCGGATATTTTCAATTGTCAAATATTATATATATTTTTGTGTACTAGATATTAACAACTCTTAATTAAATTAAAATACTATATTAATATTATATACTATTATGTAATAAAATATTATAAATAATATTATTGTTGTGTCTTATACAATTTTGAACATATATAAACTTCAATAAGTCATTTTAAATATTTTGATTTCCTAAAATTAAACATACTCGCACGATTGAATTCAGTAGGTATAAAAATAATTTCACCATTGGCAGTAAGTAAGTATAGTAATTTAATATTCATAAATTGTTATTGTATTATTATACAATAATATTTCGATTTCTAATAAAGTATACACTATCAAAATCGTTTCCTAGTATTAACCGTTAAGTATACTACCCTTGGCTACAATTTTCGACAAATGGCACTCTTCAAAAATAATAAAACTAGTCTATTTGTAACACCAATCATTTTAAACATACATTTTATTTTCAATAAGTCAATGTTAACGAAACAATTAACCCCAAATACTCGATTGAATTGTCATAAACAAACATACAATATTGAAAACAAAATAATTTAACTTAACTTAGGTAGACCTCTAAAAAAAAATAATAATAATTCTTATAAAAGCAATTAACTTCAGTTTGTAGTTAAATTAGCGGAAACAAAAAAGTAGTTAGTTAAGTTAAACAGTTAAATTTAAATAATATTCATTTATAATGCTTTTTAAGATCCGTAGAAATTTAATATTGTTACATTCTAGGATTATTTAAATTATTATGTATATTGTACTTTAATTTATCAGTATTTTTTTCAACAAACGTTTGGACTTAGGTGATTTAATTTTATCACTCATATTTTACAACTCTATTATATGCATAGTTTCATACGTAATATTTTATTTTAAACTATACATTGGAAATTAAAATATAACATATTATAAGAACTTACTTAAGATTATAATTTAGAAGTATCTTATTATTACAAAATGTATTTTATAAGCTTAAAAGATGAACTATTATAAAGCTTTGGGCTATTACTAAAATCATTTTTTTTTAAACTACCTAATTTTTGAATAAATAAGTAATCAACTGTGAAACAATAGATAAAAGCTCAACGCTGAATCCCATGGATTCTAACAAATCAGCGACTCATATACTTGTCAACGCTAGAAAAGTAAATTATATTTTTAAATTCGGTTAGGTAAACTATTGTTTTTAAATACAATTTAAAATAAATGAATAGATTTTTTGAAGAATAGTGAAATAAAATTTACTTAAGAAACACCATTAACTTCAATCAATAAATTAAGTTAATTTAAAAAAAAATATTTATTAAGTATTACAATTAATAAGTAATACATAATATTACATTAACTACTTAGATGATAATTCAATAAAATTAGTGTGGAGTAGATCGTCGATGGCATAAAAACGATGTTCCGCAATAGAAAATTGGTTGAAGTAAATATAATGTCTTAAATAAGTATTGTTGTAAATAAATTCCTGCAGTTCAATGAGTGAGAAATGAAAAGAAAAATGTATAATTGATCTAAATAGGTAGATTAGTAGGTATCTTAAAAATAAATATAAATCGAAATGGACACAACCCACTATAATTGTGTTAATAAATATTTTTATTTTTTATGAATATAATCAATTAGACAGTGTGCTCTATAAATTCCCTTTAGATCTGCCAAAAATGATTCCCCGATATTGCTAATTTGTTTACCATCATACATTTGTTTTGTCTTAAAATAAAAACAATGATAAATTCTGAATCAAAACTATTCATATTGATAGCAATATGATAAATTAATACATTTTTAGTTAATCAGCCACCTACAGTTAAATTTAATATATATATATACTTATAAATTTATGAATTTTGTCAAAATTTGAACTTTAAATGTATATAAAAAAATAATTGTGTCTATACATCTATAATATTGTTGAACTGGTATTGAAGTATCTTTTGAAGAAAAAAAACACGCATACCTTTTTAAATACAGCACATTAATCGCTACGCTCAGAATATAAAAATAAAATATATTTAACACTATTATAGAATAAAATATTATTATTATTTTAATCCTTTTAATTATGTTTCAAAATGTAGAAGAAAGTTCAAAAGAGGCATCTCCACAAGAAATTACAGAAACCACATTTTCACCAGCAATAACAGGAGCTCCAAATACATATCCGAACATAGATAATCCATCCACTGTAGTTAACCCAATCACATTTTCAAGTGAGATGACCACTTTACCGTCAACTATATATAACCCAAGCACATTTCCGATCGTTGAAACAAATCCACCGTCGTCACCTGCTACTACAATACCTCCAGACTCATCTTCGCCAACAACTACAGAAAGTCCAAGCACATATCCACCGTCGTCACCTGCTACTACTATACCTCCAGACTCATCTACGCCAGCAACTAGAGAAAGTCCAAGCACATATCCACCGTCGTCACCTGCTACTACTATACCTCCAGACTCATCTACGCCAGCAACTAGAGAAAGTCCAAGCACATATCCACCGTCGTCACCTGCTACTACTATACCTCCAGACTCATCTACGCCAGCAACTAGAGAAAGTCCAAGCACATATCCACCGTCGTCACCTGCTACTACTATACCTCCAGACTCATCTACGCCAGCAACTAGAGAAAGTCCAAGCACATATCCACCGTCGTCACCTGCTTCTACTATACCTCCAGACTCATCTACGCCAGCAACTAGAGAAAGTCCAAGCACATATCCACCGTCGTCACCTGCTACTACTATACCTCCAGACTCATCTACGCCAGCAACTAGAGAAAGTCCAAGCACATATCCACCGTCGTCACCTGCTTCTACTATACCTCCAGACTCATCTACGCCAGCAACTAGAGAAAGTCCAAGCACATATCCACCGTCGTCACCTGCTACTACTATACCTCCAGACTCATCTACGCCAGCAACTAGAGAAAGTCCAAGCACATATCCACCGTCGTCACCTGCTTCTACTATACCTCCAGACTCATCTACGCCAGCAACTAGAGAAAGTCCAAGCACATATCCACCGTCGTCACCAGCTACAACAAAAGCTCCAAGTACATTGCCACCTACCACAACAAAAGCTCCACCTCTGGAAAAACCAGAAATAATATTATGCCACGAATTTGCACTCTTTTTTTATCACTGTAAAACTTCATATGCTGTATATATAGTTAATTCAATTCAAAAACTAGTACATAAACTTGTCTAGAATACTACTAAACGCTACAACCTTACAAATATTATTGTCATCTACGTATAGCTTAAATTATATTTAATAACTATCATAAATATATGTTTTATGCTGTTATTAGAATTATCTTTAACATAAAAAAACTCGTATTTATTTAAACTTGTGTAATTTACTAGTACATGTAGTTTATACAATATTATACACCCTCAACTATTATAAATATCAATGTTAAATCTGTCATTGCTATTATTTCTGGAGGCTGGATGATTTATACACATTTTCCGCTCTTAAACATCGAGACGGTTTAATGGCGATAAACAATATAATAAAAACGTCTTCTTCGAACTTTTTATCATATATAATAATGCAAAATACGCATAATGAACGGGTCATATTTCCTGTCTGGAGTAGTTGAGTAGTTTGTGTGTAAGGGTAAGTATAAACTATCTAGCAAATTTTGGCATACTATTCCAAACGGATAAACAAAATAGATGTGTTATTTTAAATAACATAATTCATTTATAGAATTAAAAAAATAATGGTATCCCAATAAATGCATTTGCAAGTTATAACGTATACGTTATAACCCTTTAATGTCACCTAAATAATCATTAGAGTAGTACCTAAGTGCCTTACATTTATTTTAATAACATATATCAGTAATTTATTTAACAGAAATCAAAAATAAAGTATTATAAATGGTAATGAGTATTGAGTATAGGTGTATTAATAATAATTAACAGTGACGAATATTTATAATAATTAAATCATTATTATTCTAGTACAATTATTACTCTAAACAGTCTAAACAATACAATATTGTGATTCAACTGACATACAGTTAAACGGATATAATGCAAAATTGCACCATTTACGAGTATTCAATCTCTAGGTCCCTAGAGCAGTACAGAATAAAGTAATATTAATAATATAGTATGGTAATGCATTTATGAAATTACAGATTATAAAAATAAAGAAGTACTTGTAAAATATTGTCTAGTTAGAACCGCAATAGCTTTTCTAATTATGATTTGAGTTAATTTTTGAAGTTATACTTCTTTATGGAGGGTAACAAAAAAAGAAGACCGCCACGAGTGATTTGAGAGTTACCGTTGCTATAACAGTAGCTGTTCCATACGCGATTGTAGGAGTTACTAGTTGGCATCAAAATTATTGTTACAATATCAGTGTTAATTTATTGACTTTATTTATTTATTGTCAATTAATATACATAACTGAATATATGAATAAGGTAAATGATATTCGTTTTGAAATCACTTTTCTGACTTCGGCACAAACGTCAAGCGACAAGAAGGTACATATTAATATTGTATATTCTAAACAAGTACCAAGTATGAAGTAAGTATGCATTATTCTATTATTATCATATATTTTAAACTTTGAAGCAAATGGGTATCATAATCTATGCAGACAATTTTGAGTGACGTTTCATCAACTTTTAAGCGATTACAAACACTTAATCATCAAATATTGAATACATTTATTGTACAAGTGAATTATAGAAAATTGAATAGGGTTTAACTATTTAAATGTCAAATTATAAAATTAAAATGAAATATTTTATCAAAATTAATATTATTTATATAGGTACTTAAAAGGACATAATATGTACTATTAATACTTCGTAATAATTTGTCAATTTAATATACTAACCAACTTGTATTTTTAAACGCTTAAACAAATATTAAAATAATGATTTTGAAGTTTCATTGTCATATCAAATTGTAGTAACATAATATGAGATGAACCTAGAATTAACTTATCAGTTTTCAAGTCATCAAGATTAAATTGCAAATTTGATATATATTATAAAAAAAACTTAACAAAATATTTTTAAGTGCCTATCTATAGTTATGAACTACGTTTTACTCATGACACAGAAATCTATTTGAAGAAAACATAGTATTATCAATATAATTTGAATTATTCATGGATATTTTTATTATTTTTAATTATGTCTACCTATAATAATATTAAATGCAATACACGAGTACATATATAGATTTTGTGTGTATTATTAACATACTATTTAAGCCAATATTTTTATTATAAAATTACCAATACTGATTTAGTGATATCAGACATTATTAAATAATGTTAAAACTAGCCCATAAACATTTATACGTCCGCAAATAACACTCCTGGTCATTGTTTATTTCCGGTCGGAAATATAAACCAATAGTTTAGTTCATAAATCATTTTTCAACTGGCAAAACTTTCATGTGATAAATGGTTTCTCCAATCTACCACTCATTACTTACTAGTTATTACTTAATACATAATGTGAGTTAAAGTCAAAATTCTGATCATGATTTGATGATTACCATTTACCCGAGTAAAAAACTATGTAAGTATTCAATTTTTTGCCATCGGAAAAATAATTAAACTTACATACTTTATACATTTTAACTTTATTCAAATAAATAAAGCAACTTAGTGGATAGGAATCAGTGTTTCTGTTTTCGAGTGTTGATATCGTATAATTATATTATAGACAACTGTGATTAAAATATTTTAGTTTCAATCCACTAATCTGCGTAGCGTATATTAGTACCTTGCTGAATATTTAAAAACCACGTTTTCAAGATTTCGATATCTCGTTTCACTGTGGATACCTAACCTATAACTCCAAGTTTAGATTAAAAATCCCGAGGTCCCGAAACACATATCCACTTTTCATTACTTCAACTTGTGTTTATATTTTTTTTTTGAATTTAAAAAAATTCACAATAATAATGAAAAAAAATTAACAATATGACTAGCAAAATTACTGCCTACTTAATATTCCACACGGATCATACACAATTATAAATTATGCATACAAAGGCACTGCAGTCATCACAACCACTGGGGTAACCAATTATACTGACACTGAATAAGCTAAAAGTCAACTGACATAATTTACCTAGTATTGTTACCTCACTTGAATTTATCAAAAATACTTAATATGAATTTAAAATTTAATATATGAAGATTTTTTATTTTATAATTGAATATAATATTTCATTAACTACATGGATCTACCACGGACTACTTTGAACTACGTCATTCTTAACTCCGATTTTTATTCATTTATAAACTGTACCGTATTATTATCAGATAATAATTGTATGAACATTTTTTTCATAAACTTTTCGAATATGTGCATCAAAAACATAAGTATTTTGTTAAAATAGATGGGCCGCGGATCCATGCCCCTCTGCTCACCCTGAATTCAGGATTGCACACCGCATCGTCACTATTCTTTCCTAAGACCTCCCGCGCAGTTATACAGCCGTGAATTATACTCCGGTCACGGCGACTGCGAGACGACAGTATATAACCGTGTATGTAATCATTTCTAACCACCGATGAGAGATTACTGAAATCCGCCACTAAATCAATCAGCAACAACTTCACTCTAACTTCTTTTTACGCCCAGTGCAGGTGCTTTAACCGGAAATAAAACCATTGCAGCTCTTATTCTTGTACATTACCGAGTTGTGCAGCAGGTCATCAGTCGATAGTTCTGAAACTAGATCTGCCACCCATTATCGTTAGTGTAAGACCTGCAGTTTTTACCACGAGACAAGTGGTAAGAGTTTTCATCTCAATGATTTATATTCCATACAGTTGTCAGACTAGCAAATGCTAATAATCCAATTTCCAAACGGGTCTTGCAGGCACGGGTTGACAAATGAAGACATTATCGGGCAGTCTCCCAGAACATGATTTCGCTGCGATATTCGCTGGTCGAAACCCGTGTTTTTCATTAGTTTATTATTTATGTACCAAATATCAATAGTATTCTTTAAAAGCTCACCGTTTTGAAATTCTCAAATCATATTTTCGATTTGTCCATGTATGTTACATTAAAATTTTAGACTGCAATCTTTTAGTATTTGAAATAATAATGTACATTCGAATAAAATTATTAAAATACATAAATTAAAAACATAACGCTTATAAACTATTTAATAATTATTCGTTATGCAATCATAAAAGGTATGTCTAAAAAAATAATATTTATAAAATATAAATATATATACCTATATTAATAATGTTCTAATTTAATTAATAAGATACCCAAGTCTCTTGGTAGAATCATTTAAGTTAAAAAAAGCCACCGGCATTTAAAGTTTTCATAAATCTCTATACAACGAATGCGAATCGTACATTAAAATATTTAAACTATAATAAGAATAAATATTCATGAAGCTTGTATGGTTGGATTAAAAAAAAAAGTAAGTACATAAAGAAAAATGAAAAATTGTGACAAAGAATGCTTCGCGATGATGAGAATAATATAACTATATTAAAATGTTCCACCATCTGTATAGCTGCAGTGGTAGTATTATAGTTAGTAACAATTTGCTTAATTATCTTCATATTACCATAGCCTCGAAGAGGTTGAAAATAAAACTCGCAATATTTCCAACCCCCTAAAATTAGGAGTCTACCATCTATGATGGGTTCACGTGGGTTTCCGTTTCGATTATAGTCACGTTAAGAAATCAGAACTCATTAATACTGTAATTGTTAGAGGTTATCGTGTTTTCTTGATATCATCGTTAAAATATATCTGTAAAGTGTACTTATACAATTAATGTAGATAAAATTAAATACCACAGTGCTATTAGACTCGTTTTTTTTATTTCTTCATTTTTGTAGTATTATATTATTGTTAAATTAAATGAAAACACAAACAAATAATAACACAATAATTGAGGAGTTTGTAAAAAAAATATTTTATTTAAGGACGTGACTTTATCTTCTTTTATAAAGTCTATAGTTATTTGAATGTATTATGAAGGAAAACTCGAGTATCACTTAAACTAATTCACTTTGTTATTGTAGGTATTGAGCAATTTTAAATAAATTCAAAAACTTTTCAAAAGAACACGAATTTCCGCTGCTATAATATTTGTGAAAATGTTTGCCTTACGTATAGTCTAAAAAAAGGTTTACAGATATAATGATGATAATAATAAATAAATTATAAAAAATTATTATTATCTATAAATTATTTTTGTTTATAAAATATCATTTTTAATTAATAAATTGAAAAGAACCACTCATAGTGTCATTGTTAACAGTTTTTTCTATACCAATTCTTGAATAAAAAAAATATACCATACGTACTAAGCCTTACAGTTCATTTTTTTGTTTTTTAAATTTAAATACCTAGCTATAGACTATCAATATTTAAA